CACACACACACTGTACTCAAGTAAATGTTCCAAATGTTTCATACATTTGTGTATATCCGGAAATCTATCAGAAATTCGTCACAAGTATGAAATTTGTTCGAAATAAATTATGAAGTACGTACATGCGCGTGTCGGGAATGAGCTTGCTTATCATGAAATGAGTATGTATTATAGTTACAATGAAATGTATACGCGTCTAAACATCCAACAAGATAATTCGCGTCTTCACACTAGTCTTCGCACGTCGCACTAAGCGATGTCCGTTTCTTCGAAGCAACGACGATACGCCACGCGTCGTATATATTATGACCAGTGTCACGTGACGTGACATAAATAAGCAGCATTATTCATTGCGTTCGCTTTAATTATGTCCGGCAATTTATAAACATTAAGTGTTGGCAGTGTAATCGATCACGGCGACCCGAGCAATTGTCGTGGCACGCCGTGAATGAAGGCTGCCACGAAAACATTACATTATAACAAGTAAACCTACCTAGAAGGTACATTCCGATTTCTTTCTAATTTGACACAAATGTAGAAGTACAAAAAATATTTAGATCATATTTTTTTATTTTGGCCTACTTTGAGTTTCACGGGCAATTTATAGCTTTTTAATGTTCTCACTCCTATCAACAAGTGCAACAAAAATGCATAAAAAATAAAATTGAATGCAAGATATAGCCGTTTTTGGTTTGCTGATTATGAATATAAAGTTCAAATGTGTAAAATTATTTATATGAATAATAAAATATTTTAACAAAATATTTTAATAAAATATTTAAACAAAACACGTAAAAAGTTGAAAAAAATTATTTATACAAATAATTTCTCGGTTTGGCCGAGATTCGAAACCATTTTTGACTAATTTAGTACAGAATTAAAATATTTCGGTTGAAATCTCGGCTAAAAGAAATTTAGAGTAGTTTGTGTCTCAGCTATGCCGATTTTGTTAAAATTATTTAACTATATCTTGTATTCAATTTTATTTTTTATGCATTTTTGCTGTACTTGTTGATGACAGGAGTGAGAACATTAAAAAGCTACAAACTACTCGTGAAATTCGAAGTGAACCAAAATGAAAAAAATATGACTTAGATATTTTCTGTATTCTTACGGAAAGAAATCGGAGTGTAACTTTTGGGTAGGTTTACTTGCAAGAGAAATTGTCCGATAAAAAAATTAACAAATTAACGGATATTTCTGATCAAATTCCGATCAATTTTTATATCCGATTAAGATATCCAATTAAATTTAATCGGATGCTTCCGATCATAATGGCATTTCATCAGATAAATCGATCAAAAATTATGAATTGAAATTTCTCATTGGACTCCTGACCGGATATAAAAATTTATCGGTATTTTAATTGGAAATATCCGTTTGTTAATTTTTTATCAATTAATTTCTTTCAGTGTAGTAGTGACGTAATGCTTCGAGTAGCGCCTGTGAATGAATCTCTGTCGGCATCACGACGTAGCAGATAAACTCGTTAAGAATTCACAAATATCTGAAAATATTTTTCAGCGTTATTTTTCATCTCTCTCTCTTTCTCTTTCTTTACGAACTTTTACGCTTCGAACGTCCAAACGGGCACGAAAATGCGAGCCACGCTGTCAAATGAGTCTTGTCGCGTAGAAAATTTGATTTATTCAAGGTTCGTGAATATAATCTCGCTCATTGAACTTTGGTCCCCGGGCGACATGGGACACGTATTATATTTAACTTCTTCAAGCGAACGTTGGCAGAACATGGACTGCGACGATAAGTGGCGCGATAACACGCGTTCTTTTTATTGGCGCTGTTTTACTGATTTGTGCTTTTTTGCGTCGCTCGGTTTTTGTGCATATAAATGTGTATAAGAGTATGAAGCCACGACTTCTGCTCGCTTTAATATGTGTGGTAAGGCATTTATAATTTTCTATCGATTCGGTCGAGATACGGTAAAATGAATTGCGAAGCTTCGACTTCTGATCACAGAAGAAACGAAAAGCGGGATGCATCCTGCTCTTAAGACCGTATTAATAATCGTTACTTGAAACTCGTCTCTCAAGTGAAATAACAGTAAATTATCCCGATTACGATGTTGCAAATATAATGCTATATATATATATATATATATATATATATATATATATATATATATATATATAATCCGAAGGACTTAAACTACTATATATTTATAGAAAATTAGTTACTTTGTTTATTAATGTCAAAGAATGTATTTTTCTTTCCGTGTAAATAAATCAATAATGATAAAATTTGATTCTAAATTTAAATCTAAATATCTCACGTGAGATAAGTTTCAAGTCACGATTATTGAAATACGGGCATTAAAAATCCGTATTAATAATTATTAATTCTCAAGTGCGATACTCAGATTTTTAAAATCAGAGTTAAATAAGAGTTTTTTAATTGAATTTTAATTACATAAGTGTCACATATATTATAATTTAAATGAAAAACTTGAATCTAATTCTAAATAAAAGATATAAATAGAAATCTCTGAGTATCTCACGTGAAAAAAGCTTTAAGTAACGGTTATTGAAGTATGGACGATCCGTAGTAATAGTTATTACTTGAAACTTGCTTCAAGTGAGATGTTCAGACTTGAATTTAGATTTAAACTTTTTGTTTTTATCGTAATATGTTGGCACTACTTTTGTAGTCGCGATTCAATTGGAAAACTCACATCCAACTTTGAATTCTAATCTTAGTACCTCGCTCAAAACAAGTTTTAAGTAATCACTATTAATACAGACTCTCAGGACATAATTTGAATTTAGGCACCATGAACGTTGTCCTTAAGTCAGAGTTGTAGAAAGAAAGTGAGTGAGTGAGGAAGAAGAAGTTGTAACGTACTTATACATACGTATTTCAAATCTTAGCACTTCTTTCTTATTTACTAGAGCTTTACTAGAGTTTCTGTCTTATTCCCACTTACAACATTCCCACGAATAGCAAACAGTCGGGAATCATGTTTTGTCCTAACTCTGACTGGAGGAACCAGTGCTACTCTGGCAGGGATTACAGACTGCAAGGAACTTCTAGTCGTCCTCATTCTTTACATCACTGACCTGTATCGCGAATTCGAATAGTTATCTGCGTCAGACAGTGCGAACTTTGGATCATGGTTTCGTAAGACAGACAGACCAAGGGTCGCGTTATATCTATACGTTCTGTACGTACCATCGTTCGTAACACCTCTCTTGTTTTTGTTTATCGGCGCTCGACGCTGCTCGTAACATGTCGTATTTCAAAACGGCGTACCGTGACGCGACATTTCAATCGGATATTCATTATGTTTGTGATTTATGCTTCATGACATTCAATTGTATAATTATGTTTTACCGTGGCCTTTCGACGCATTCTCTTATACACTTATTATTTCTGCGTCTACAATATTAAAATGTTTTATGTAAGTCGACTTGTTGTTGCACGTCGATTGCAAAGTGCAACTTCCATAAAAGGTCCACTCAATTCGAAAAACGAAACTCACGCACGACTGCACGCAGTCGTATTACACGTTACAGGCGGATGAAAACAACAACAAAATCTCACCTCTTCGAATTATCCGCAGCGTTTTATCGTCGACTGCTATGCTAAAGCGTGCGCCAGAACTCGCAGCCTCGGAAAGTAGCTCACCGCGTCATCGCGCTCGCGCTCACGTTTGACTGCAATGCGTGCATTCCGTCGCGAATTGACACGTGCACGCGTGTATCGGGGGCAAAGTGCACTTGACCGAGTCAGCTGTCGCGGTTAACGTGCCGTAAGGACTGCGAACGAATCGCGGTTATAGACGTATTCTACGGGACATTTCGCAACGCCAGTAAATTTATCGCAGGGATCAATCGATCAACTATCGCAGTCGCAGTCTTCGGGGTTCTCTTCTGCATTATGTAAGCGCGTGGTCGAGGCGCTACAAGTCACTCACAGGAGACATAGATCGTGTCGCTATTATCCGTGTCTCGCCATTGTGCCTTATCGTTTGTTTAATATTTAAATAATACACACACCTACATATACAATACATTGCCGATAGATTACAAAAGAATATACAACAAGCGCATTTCACGCTCGGCAAAGGTCGTGTGGCCGCTCACAGGTTAACGAGATCTCCTTGATGCTGTGCTCTTAAAACTCCTGGCTACTCGCCACGGCCATTTTGATTTGTGACGTCAGAAGAGCGAGGAAATGCGCGCTCAAATTTCTACAAAGTACGTCGAAATAAGAAGATATATGTAAAAACTGACATTTACAATCGATTAAGTACACTCTTGAAATACTCCGATCACTCTCGTTTTGTTCTGATAATTAATAAATAACCGTAAAATTAATGTGACACGCAATTTTCCTTTTTAACCTATATTTCCTCTTTACTTTTTTTTTTTAACAAAATAGAGAAAATGTAAGTTAAAGAAGAAAGTTGCGTGTCATCTTAATTTTACGGTTATTTATGGCTTTTAGAGTAAAAGAAATGTGTATTTTTGAGATATGCTTAATCGATTGCTAGTGTCATTCTATGGATATATCTTTTTATTTCGACGTATTTTGCAGGAACTTTGGGCATATATTTCCTCGCTTCTGACGTCATCATTGGAGAGTTCCGCGGCGAGTAGCCAGGAGTCTTAAGGGAGAATTCACATTTTGGCAGAAAAGCAGAAAGAAGCCAATCAGATCTCGCGGTTTCTGGTCAAGACGGCAATTAACAGTTTCTGCTGCTTTACCAGCGCGACTTCTGATTACTTTCTATCTTTCTATTTATCTGTTAAAGTGTGATTTTTTCGACAGTCGAGCGCAATGACAATGCCGGCAGAAGCGTCGAAGGTTGACAAATCAAGACACTCTCGATATCCGCTTTGAGCGAGCGATTTAAAGGATTCTCAACACCGTCGTCGAGAAAGGAGGAGGAATGCCTTTCGGCAGGACGCGCGAATGCATCTGCATGCACTTTGTGAGAAACGCACTAACCGCGCCGATTTTGGGAATGGTTTTTCTTGCAGTGTCGATTAATCCGCATCACAGAGGCGTGCACATACACCCTTCCTCCCTCCGAGAGGGCGTAAAGTCGATCGGCAGTGACCGGATAGTGCCGCCATCATGATCGTGGACGACAAACAGTGAGTCGTAGCGTAACGCATAGAAAGTGCTGTTGTGTAGCTCATAGATGAGCACGCATCCCGCTACGCATTGCGCCGCATACTTTACGCCTACAATACGTTCTCTCTTTGCAATATTCTTCTGTCTGTCGCTTGCTCGAATTTTTAGCCCTTGGATGCCGTTGGCGATCGCATACACATATACATACACGGCGCTGGAGAATCGAACACGCCGTGCTTTCATCGTAGGCGCCACAGACGCATCCGAGGATTAAGTCCTTAAAACTCTTTCATTTACTTTATCTCTCAATTTACTTTGTATTACGTCCCGAATTTAGCTCGAGGATTAAACTCTCCAATTTATTTTACACTGAAAGTTTTAGCGGATATATATGTGTATATATATACATATATCCGCTAAAACCTCGAGTGTAATATATAATATATATATATATATATATATATATAAACGTGTAGCGTGGAAATATTATGCAGAGTTATATACATACACATACATATATATATATATATATATATATATATATATATATAT